GAGGGCATCGGGTCATGTGAAACAGAGCTCTATTTATTCTGACTGTTCAAAAGGAGAACAAAAACAGGTAGGGATGATTTTGCTCAGTGGAAAAAAATGGAAGTCACCACACATTAAGATGAAAGGTTAAAAAAGAAATGGGGAGAGATCTATTTTATAATACCAGCACTCACATTCTTCCTTGGAGGGTGAACAGCGTTTTCTCCACAAGCCAATGGACTTCTTGCATTTACAGTGTTTCCGCACAGTTGAAAAACAGCTTATACACGCCAAAAACAACTGCACTTGCCTTGCAGTTAAACGCTTTCTTGTGGAGTAACACAGAAAAGCTCAGTTCAAATTATATTAATAAGCCAGAACGATCCACCAAAATAAATACTGAAAAACACCTTCCAGCAACAACAATATACAGGTCACTTGTTATATATGCTGACAAAGCCCCTTTCAGGTATTCCGTTGGCAGGGCAAACAGATAATGGGAATGATGATGGGAATTTAGAAAAGAGACAACATTTGAATTGAGAGGAGGAAAAGAATGCAGAACACTGACAGTCTATTCAAAATACCATTGGGTCACAATTTACTGACGGGTATTTTTAAAAACAGAACCTGATGAGAAATGCTGAGATTAATCGTTACAAAAAAAAAAACAGCACATTTTGTCAAACTCCGACTTGCCTTTTAAGGCAATTTACCTCCTTCTGGAAACAAGAGCAAGACGTCTGAACTAATGCATAGTGAAAACACGTCGGCCTAAGTTTGACATTCAGTAACTCTACAGACACAAAAAAACACAAGGTCAATAACATAAGAATGGTTACAAATGAGAAAAAGACATTCAGCCCATCGAACCCATTTCGTAGGAAGTAGTTAACTCATGCAAGGATAACAAAACTGTAATAATCTGCATCTAATAATCATATAATAATCTGCATTTAATAACTTGTTAATAGCATGTAATATGTATCTAATAATCATGCAATATCCTGTATTTAATCTTCTTGTATACAATAAAAGTCATCTGCCACGTTGTTTTCCCAGTTTAATTTTGCTTAATTAAAATCGGCAAATAGCTGATTTTGAAACTCAATACACAGAGATTTTAATTAATGCAAGAGCAGATCACGTCCTGCTCGAGTGGTGATGATCTCCTGCCTGACACCAGCGTGACTGAACGTGGCCTGTCTGAGCAACGTTATGCTTCAACCAATTAGAGACTAATCCAGCCAAAGAAGAAAACCAGGTCTATGAGAGTCAGGCCATGAACTGGAAAGCAAAGAGTCACCACACTAACCCAGGACTGTCACATGCACATGGTACATTTGCATAATTGTTCTCAGATTGCATCAACAACAGCATGAGAAATTCCAGGATGAAATAACCTGAGCACTAACAGAATCAGCGTAGTTCACTGCATGAAATGATCTTCATTCTTACGAGCCACTCCGGGGCAATGCTGACAGCAGAGAGACAAAAAAACAACTTCTGTGAGACAGAGCAGGTCTCAGGTGGAGGCAGGGAGAGTGGCAGAGTGTTTTATTCTTTTAAGAATATTGTAGATATTTAGATGACAGAAGCCAATCTCTAGGGAGATCATGCCAGCCACTATGTTGACTGTTCTGCAGTTCAAGCCAAGCTGTGTGGTGGTTCAAGTGTGATTATGTGGGGAAAAGAATGCAGATTGAGGCCAACCGCACTGTTCAGAGAAACTATGACACTGAAGTAAATGAGCCAATAGATTTTCCATTCTTGCAAACTAATCAGGAAGTGTCCATACTCCAGCAGGACAATGCAAGAACACACAGTGCTTGGATTACATTGGCACAACTTCAAGAAAACAATGTCAAGGTACTGCAATAGTCAGCCGTTTCTCCTGACCTGAGTCCAATAAAACATCTGTGGGACTGGCTCAGTGATGCCATCAACAGGAGACAAATGGGACTGGTCAATATTCGCCAGCTGGCAGGAAGAGTGATGAAGAGTGGAAGGGAATTTCCACTTTCTATGTTCCATTTCCCAAACAAACCAGAGAACGGTGATCGTACTATTGAATGCTTTGAAGGATATTCCGAAACTGAACACGCTGTGTCCAAAACAAACATTTACCACTTTCCAGAAAGCTGACTGAAGGAATGAGACAGATCTTAGGAGAAGGATAATGGGATAAGATAGATATGAAATCATTAGAGAATAGATGGCAATAGTTCACACAGTGCCTGCTCAAAGCACAGAGCACAATTATCACTTGTGAGTGAGCAAAACAAAAGCTATTCCAAATAATTTGATAAATCAACTAGGAAAACAAAATGTTTTATAAAATAAATTAAAATAGCAGGATCCAGTTAAAATAAAGGAGTGTAAAGAATTTCCAACATAGGTCACAAAGATCAAATTGAAGTGAATATTTTTATTTGAATTTCTAAAACAAGAAAAATAAAAAGTTCTTCCAATGCTACAACAGCAATAATTAACTATTAAGGTAGTAAAATACATCTGAAAGGATTAAATGAAACTAATAAAATGAAATGGCTTGTGTACTAAACTAGTCATTTTAGCAGGTGTTCACTAAGGAAGAATTCAACAACCTGCTTCCAATAGCTGAGTAATACAAATTCTGTAATCAAAAGGCAGAAGTGTTTTGGGTACTACAAGCAGTCAAGATTATGAAATCCCAAGGTCTTGGGATTGGTGGTATTTTACAAACTGTACTCAAGGAAATATGAGATATCATTCAAAAACCACTAATGCAACAGTCACTTAAGGCACACATTCCTTCTCAGAATCCATAATTTATACAATTAGTCTTATTGCAATTCTCACACTTGCAGATCAGTAAATAAACCGAAGTTTGAACCTGGGAGTAAAAGCTTAAACAATATTTCTGAGGGCCTACTTATAGGCCAAACGTACCCCCTCAAACCTGTTACTCAAGCTGATTCAAAGTACTGTGTTAGCATATATAACATTCAAGAAGCCTATCAATGCAACCAATCACCAATTATCATATTTTTATGAGAATTCATCTATTATTCCAGCCACTCAGAAATAAAAATAATTACAATACTGACATCTTAATTTATACTTTACCTCCTTATCAGTGACGCATATTGTATACTATCACTTCCCAGCTTCAATTGTTGCAAAAATGTAACATGCAAAACCCTCCTGAGTCTTTCATTTACTATTTCAATAATGTCTTTAATCTTAGCCCAATACCAATCATTTGATAAAGAACTCGTTACATATGCTCATTACATATTCTATCTTATCTCATCCTGTAATTATTTTTTGTCATACTCTTTCTAATCTTGTTCTGCAGATTCCAGGGAAAAAAAGGAAACGTTACTGAAATACCGATAACGAAGCAAGAACCATCATAAAACGCTCCTTGCTAAGAAACACGATTGCTAGCCTCGAAGCAAAATTCAACAGAAAATGTTTTGTGAATTTTGTCGTCATCATCAGAACATTTCGAATAATCGACAGTCAAGGCAAACATTCTGGGTGTTCTGTCACAAAACTTCAGACGTCGATCACTGTAGTGACCATTTAATAACCCCCATGAGCACATATACTGTATGATGATAGCCTATTTAAGATTTAGATTTTTACATTTTAAGTTCAATTTAGCCCATTTGTACAGCGCTTTCCACACGAAGTGCTTTACAAATAAGAAAGGGCCCACTTCACCCACCAGGAAGAGCAACTCCTTAGTAATCATTCTATACCACCAGCCCAAGTAGGAAATGGCTTTTCCAGTTGAACTAAAGGGGACATTTAGGTTTGCGAAATTGTGCAAACCCATAGTGGAACTCAGGACAGGGCACCAGGATTAACATGCCTACTCAAACAAACACAGAGAGGAGTTTAACTGACCAGTATCCCTGTTTAGCATCAGAAGGATAGCACCCATTACAGCACAATGTGACCCGCAACCATAATGGGAAGCTGCTTTGGAAATTCTGGTCCGTAAAAATTACCCATTGGTCACCGGCACCACTTAGAACAGCAAATCCCGTTTTCCCTACAGGCCTCCCATCCAAGCACAGACCAGGCCCAGCCTTGGTTAAGTATCAGTATATGACATGTCTGTGTAAGACACTTCCACGCAAGAGGACATTTATGTCTATTCCTGTACTCCCTTTGCCCTTAGAATTTCAATTTGGCCTTCATTATCAGTCTATGGTATAAAAAAAGGAAAAAAAGGAAAATGAATAATACATTTAAAAATAAAACTTTGAAGGATGGCACCTCCTACAGTTGAACGTTGCCATAGTGCGATGCTGGTTTGGACATTCAAATCTAGAGGTAACAGCACCTCCTCCTGGTGAACCAGCGCCACTTTCACTGCCACACCTGTTAGTGAACTCTCATCCCAGGTCTGACCCAGCCTAGCCCCTGTTAAGCTTGAGCTACAAGTGGTAACAGGCTACAAGGTGGTAACGCTGTTTCTAAAAAAAGAAAAGACACTAGAAAAAAAGCAAGCATGGCATTCGCATAAGTCCACCCTTATCACTCAGAATAACACAGAACCTCTGAAAAATGAACAACCAGCAGGTACCCTCACTGTAAGTTGTTTGTACTGGCAAGCACAGCTGGTAATGACCCCTTTTAAAAACGACCTGAAGGCTGGTGATTAATGCAGGTTGAATGTTTTGGAAATAGCTTTTGTACTCTTATTAATAATAATAATTGCTTATACTTATATAGCACTTTTCTGGACACTCCACTTAAAGCGCTTTACAGGTAATGGGGACTCCCCTCCACCACCACCAGTGTGCAGCCCCACCTGGATGATGCGACGGCAGCCATAGTGCACCAGAACGCTCACCACACATCAGCTCTCAGTGGGGAGGAGAGCAGAGTAATGAAGCCAATTCATAGAGGGGGATTATTAGGCTATGATTGGTAAGGGCCAATGGGAAATTTGGCCAGGACACCGGGTAAGGTGTCCTGATAGGTACCACATACATACCAACATAAGAGCTACATATCCATACCTTGCTAGGAATCCTGAAGTTCTCCACAGGGCTGAGGTCACCTGCATTCTCCTGGGGACTTCTGGGACCCTACAAAACATACAACAACCATAATCACCATTTGCTGGCTGGGCTGTTTACTTCAACTCACCTTTCAGTACAGAACAGCCATGCTTTTGTCTCGTACCTTTTTATATTTAACTATTTAACAGCCTCTAAAATCACAGGGCAGGCAGCCCTGGGATATACACCAAGGGACACAGACGGAAACTACAGGGAAGTGTTCTTAAAACTGGGAACAGGAGGCAGTTCTTGGGCACAAAGTGAAGTGAAAGTCTGGAACGAGCTACCCAACCACATCAAACCTGAGTGCCACTCAATCACAAAACAGCTGAATGGGTTCCTCTGATCACTCAGCGACTAAAAACCATAACTACAACTGCCCCTACTCATATGTAAATATTTTAATGCTCTAAAGAACACCACATTTGACCAAGAAATGCAGTGTCACTTCCATAATTGTGCCTACCATTCAAACTCTAAAGCTTTACTGGGTCAATTTGTAATCGTCATTGATGCCCATGAGTGCCCCTATTAGTGCCTATTCTAGAATAATGTCCACTGGCTCTTTGGAATGCAAAGCTAGCTTGGAAAGCCTGATCTTTTCTGATCGGATTTTTTTCTCACAACGTGTTATGGTAATTACAGTTTTAGTAACTAATGACACATACCGCACAGCACAAGAGTATAGAGAGGTTTCTAATGTAGTTTTGCAACAATCTCGATATATTGTGCTACTAAATGTTCAAAACTTAAAACAGTACAACACTCGCTTGGCTACTATTTCATGATAAATATATATGTATGTAATCATGATATCCGAAAGCGTGCGCAGTCATACATGTAGTACATTCCGAGATAAAAAGTACTTCCCTGTACGCCCACTTTCTGCACTCCATTACGGAATGTGCTCCACGTAGATCATCAACATAAAAGAGATGAGGAAGACTTGTTGTACGACATGGGGTAGATTTCAGTCAGTTCTGCGCTACTGAACTATACAAAACAGGACAGCGCTATCACTATTACACCAGTCCTATTGCCTGATCTCAAGTATGTTACGTTTAGCAAGTCTGTTCTATATCCCTCAAAGGTGATGATGACCTATAAAACCGACTAATTTTCAAACAAGATGGTGCATTCAGGATAAATGTTAAGCGTATCGCTTTCGACCGCTTCCCATACCACGCACAGTGCCGTTTCTCTTTTATCGTGAATCGCATCTCATTTAACATTTACAGTACAAACCCAGCTTTACCCACACCTGTGCACAGCCTCCTCAGCCAGGAGCACCGCTCCTTTTCAAACTGATTGTCGTTATATCTCACCTGCCGGGTCATTAGCGATTTTATCTTTTGCATTTTGGTGTACAGTTTATACGTCGTTCCTCAGAGTCGGTAACAAATTGATATCATTCCCGTGTAACTCCAGTTTCAGGTCCTACAATTCATGAACTGATACAGAACAGCCATGTTTGATAGATCCAATCACATGAATAATTCAGTCCGGGTGGTATTCTGGGAGATGTAGTTCTGCGGAATACCTACGCGTAGTTTCCGACATAGCACGATTAAATTGAGAGACTACATTGCCCACTTTCCTTTGGTTGCCGTCAAAGTCTGTAAAATTGCAGGCGAGTTGGAATCTGCTACATCCGTTTTTCTTTGCCTTCGCTACGTTTAAACGTTTCACAAGGCAAATTTGTTTGAATACAGCTTTTCTGTTTTGATAAAGACTGATATCTAGCCACACAGACACGTGTGCGATTTTTAAACGCTTTGTTGTATTTTTTTAACCAAGTCACTCATGTACTATGTCTAGGAAGTTATTGTTTTATTTATTTTGGAAACAAAACCTAGGGTGTTTATATATGTTGGCGAACTGGGCTTTAAGGAGCACAAAAAAACGAATCAATATGCATCTCCATGCGTCTGAGTTAAATAGGCCTAATCAACTGCTTGTTTGGAAAAAGTCCATTAGCGACAACATTTCCGACCAGTGTCGTAAACGCCTTCGCCAATATTCAAAGACTGTAATTTTCTTTAAAATGTTTATCTTGTATCAAAGGATGAGGTGAACACTAGATGGCGCTGTTAGCGGCTGTTTACTCAGGTAGCTCCCTTGTTCAGTGACAAGTGATGGATTTTACAACTAGCGCAGCTCTTCCGTCTTGCAACTGTTTAATAAAAGTGACTTTAAGTAAAAGTTTTTCTTAAAATCTCATTTATTATTTTTAATATTATTTATATTTTGTATTTTTTATTTTACAGCATTCATCTTTTTTACATGTTGTAATTTGACAGATTATTCTTGGTTATCTTTACTTTTTGTTAACTTATTTTTTTACAGGTGGGTAGCTGCGTCAGCATGCGTAGGCTGCAAAGGAACAAGTAATAGGTTTATTCCATGCTGAAAAAAAGAAGAAAGAGAACACAACGTTTCGGCCGTGGAGCCTTCTTCAGGTATCAAGGTGGAAGGCTCCACGGCCGAAACGTTGTGTTCTCTTTCTTCTTTTTTTCAGCATGGAATAAACCTATTACTTGTTCCTTATTTTTTTACAGCCTATACACCTTTTGCATGCTGTACCGTACCCTGCCGTGAATTTAGGTTTCTTTTAAAATTTTGTAATAAATAAGATGATAAGAAAAAGCCATCAGTTAACAGATTGGACTTTCCCAGTGAAGTCATTTTTCAAAAAGGCCATTTGTTTGAAAATTTAAATATCACCTAGCAACAGAGAGAGAGCTACCTTATCCCAGTGTGATGACAGGGTAGATGATTTACTAGTCAAATCTAGGCTTATTTTGGCTGCCAGACATTGGAGGTGTTTACCGAGCTGAAGCAATCCTCTGCAACCACCCGTAAAACACGATGCAGGATGAACAGATGGCATTCCACGAAACAATTCATGAAATATGTTCAGGTGTGAGTGGGGTGTATTTATATGTATCACTTGTAGTGTGTACAGTGCCTGAAAGAATAGCTGTTTTCACTTGAGCCAAATAAAATCCATAAAAATATCAATATAAAAAGAATAACTATTTTCATACATTTTTACCTTGCACTTTCTGCTTGTCTAACCCTTTGTCCTTCACCAAGTTCTAATTACAAAATATTTCATTTGAAAGGCTTTTCAGCAGTAATATCCAGTAGTAATTCCCTGTATCTAAACAAAGTGTAATGTACATGATCTGCCTTCATAGTTTCAGTTGATATTATGTTCAGTGCACTTAGGCAGGTGGTCAGAATTATAGGATTAGCAACGTATTCTCTGTAAACGATGTAAGTAAGTTTCAGGTCATCTTATTGGCGTCTGTGTGGACCTTGAAGTTTCTGTTTAAATGTCATAGCAGTGCCTCGCCATGGGTTTCTGGCTGCAGAATAAGACTTCTGCAGTCATCTGCAGGAATGGCAGCTGATGACGAGTCCCTCTTCCAGGCAGTCTGCACATCTCTGGGGAGACCATTGTAAAAATCTGGGTACGTGCACACAAGGTTAAAGAGCGCGTATTATAGTGGTAATATGGGAACATAAGAAATATTTTAAAAAGTGGGGAAACCTTTCAGCCCATAGAGCGTGAATTCATTTGGTACTACTAGTTTAGTAATTAGTAGATGATTGATCCAAGGATTTCATCCAGCCATTTCTTGAAAGAAGCCAAACTATCAGCTTCAACACCATGGCTGGGTAACTTGTT